TCCCCCTTCTAAGGTCCCTGGGTATTGACAGAAGAGGAGGTACTAAGCCCTGTGACTCATCATCCTTCAGAGTAGAGGGATCTGCCCTTGAGGTCCTACATTAGGGATGTGGTCAGGAAGACAGAGAAAAACAGGGCTGATTGTCCGGAGTCACAGGGGCCAGAAGCAGCGTGGGGGTAGGAACACTTGCTCTAGACACGGTGTAGAAAGAACTGCATCCAGACTGGGAATGTAGCTCAATGGGTAGAGTCCTTGCATTGCATGCGCAATAGCTCAGGTTTGATCTCAGTACTGCATAAAGACCAGAGCCAGCAGTGCAGGAGTATAATCCCGGCACCGGGGAGGTACATATAGGAAGGTCAGTAGTTCAGCTACATGAGACCGCTGGGCTAAGCCATGTACACTCCTCTGAGCAGGGGTTGTTTTCAACACTGTTGTGACCACAGACGATGTACTTTGTTTATGTGGAGTACCAAAATACAGAGATAAAATTATTAATACAGCTCAAAATTAGTGAAATGAAACGTTTAGTTTATTTTAACTTCAAAAAATAATGACCAGTCAGGAGGTGGTGGTGCACGCCTTTAATCCCAGCACTCGGGAGGCAGAGGCAGGCGGATCTCTATAAGTTTGAGGCCAGCCTGGTCTACAGAGAGAGTTTCAGGACAGGCTCCAAAGCTACACAAAGAAGCCCTGTCTTGAAAAAACAAAAACAAACAAACAAAAACCAAAAACCAAAAACCAAACCAAAACATATTATACAACATTAAATATATACTTAGAGAAATAGAAACATCATTTTAGTTAATAGAATAAATTATTAGAATCTTACTTCTTTTTTTTTTTTTTCTTCTGAGACAGGGTTTCTTTGTGCAGCTTTGTGCCTTTCCTAGATCTCTCTCTGTAGACCAGGCTGGCCTCGAACTCACAAAGATCCGCCTGGCTCTGCCTCCCGAGTGCTGGGATTAAAGGCATGCGCCACCACCGCCCGGCCAGAATCTTACTTTTTAAAGGAATCATTTTAAGCCAGGTGGGGCAGCACACACCTCTAATCTCAGCAGCACTTGGGAGGTGGAGGCAGGGGGATCAAGAGTCAAGGAAAACCTTGGCTACTTAGTGGGTGTTAGCCCGGCGATGTGTGCGCCCACCCTTCTGAGTCATCCCTCATCCCCAAGCGTATCTTTGGTGTGTGTGCAAATCACGCCTGCTGCAAAAACCTTCGCTGTCCAACATCATTGAGAGAACAGCAAGAGGAGGGGGTAAACTAACGTGAAATATCTTCTTTGCACACCACCACTGTGGGCAGGCGGTCTACCTCCCTTAATAACTCAATGGAAAAATCTTTTGGCATTTTTTTTTCTTTCTTTCTTTCTGGCAGGAGTGGTAGAGACTGAGGTATTTTCTCTGGTCACGAGCATTCGGTCCTGTTTTGGTTTAAACCTTCCATAACCTCATCCGGCACCCGGACCCACCCTGCTGGTCATATACACTGAAACATTCAGTGTTCTTTGAACTAGAACTGGAGCCTGAGGGGAAGCTGGGCTGCATCAATTAGCATGTCCCTTCTCTTCCTAACAATTATAGAAATGTTAAAAAAAAAAAAAAAAGCTTTTGAAATAAGTATCTTTGTTGTTCTAGTAAAATTTTACTGCAACTCATAAGACATAAGTTGCTTTGAGTTTAGAAATTTAGATTTTTTTTTACAATAATAATAATAATAAACTACTGGTATGTGATCATTTAAAAACAAAGAGCCAACTCCCCAGCACCCAAGAGGCAGAAGCAAAGGGGAATCTTTGTGAGTTGAAGGCAAGTCTGGACTACAGAGAGAGTTTCAGGCTACCTAGGACTGCATAGTGAGACCCTGCCTCAAAATAAACAAACAAATAAATAAATAATTCACAGAGCTGGAGCTGGAGATGCATGCATAGGTCCCACTACTCAAGAGGCTGAGACAGAAAAATTGCTCATGTATGAGAGATTGAGGCCAACCTGAACAGTGTAGGAAGACCCAACTCAAGGTAAGACACACACGCACGCACGCACGCACGCACGCACGCACGCATGCACGCAGAGAGAGACAGACAGAGAGGCTTCTTTTCTAGGCTAGGACCTCTGTCAAGGAGGACTGTGATGATGGAATGCAGCCAAAGCAGGGGTCCTTGAACCAAGCGTGGAAAAGAGGTGAGAGAGCCTGCTCCCCTTGACCCCCCACAAATACACAAATGCTGGAGAACATGGGTGCTGGGTAGGGTGAGGATGTCGAACTCATTCAGGTCATTGGGGAGAGGAGGGTGGCATAGGTCTACTAGGCAGAGCTGTGTGCCCAGGCCCTGTGTTGAGCTCTGGAATACATGGTGAGCTACGCCAACATGGCTTATGTTTTCATGAAGCTGACATTCTTACACGTCATCACGTTAAATACTCACCGCTAGGAATGTCCAGTGAGTATAATGGAAAGAAAGGTTTATTGGGGGAACTTCAAGCTGACATGGCGATCTCTTGGGGGCAAAGAGAATAGCAAACTGGTAGGGGAAACCTTGTCAGTTTTATGGGGAGCTGTTAGCAGTGGGAGGGGGTGAGCAAGTGAGAACAGCCTGGGACCTATCGACTTTGATACGGGTTACAAGTCTGTGTTAATAGGGAACTAGATGCCCCATTGCTGGAGGTAGCTGGCTGCAGAAGCAGATAAGGGAAGTGGTGTCTCTTCCTGACAAACAGACATGGCTTCACAAGTTTCTGAGGAATGCTGATTTTATCCACCAGCAATCATCCTTCTGTTAGAGTCCAGCCTGAGCTGAGACCGGACTGTGAGTTAGGACATTGTCAACGGCACTGTCATTTTGGAGGGCGCACTTTGGAGAAGGTTAATTTGAGGCAGCAGGAGCTCGAAGCCGCTGGCCACATCTCATTCTCCGTCAGGAAGCGGAGCGCTAACGAATGTGTGTGCTCAGGTCTCTTTCTCCATTTCACACAGTCCAGGATCCCCGCCCAGGGAATGGTCCCTTCCACAGTGAAAATGGATCTTTCCACACCAATTAATATAATCAAGACAATCCCTCACAGACTTTCTTTCTTAGAGGCTAGTCTTAAACACCTCACAGGTGTGCCCGAGGCTGGTCTCCTAGGTGACTGTAGATTCTGTCAGGTTGACAACTGATACCAACTATCACATTTGCCAAGATATATTCAAGCCTTTGGGGGCCTAAAACCACTACAAGGGAGAAAAAGAACACGAAAAGACAAATACAACAGCTAGGCTTGAAAGGTGGAGGTCCCTTTAAATTGCCTCCCCAGTTTTAGAAATCTCGTCAACTCATCCTTTTAGAAAGATGGCATACACCCAAGAAACAAACAAGGAAAATAGCAATTTCATAAATCAACTTGCCAACACACTCTTTGCAATATTCTTTCCTACACTTTGGCTCCATCATCTCTTTGGCGGCTCTATCACATGCCCCTCACCTTTTCTAGATGAGCAGGGCCATCCCTCCAACATAGACAAAATCTGTGTCTTATTGTTGGGGACTTAGAAACGCTTATGTTGAATTCGCAGGATGGGTCTTACATCAGTCAGTGTTTTCAGAGTAACAAAACCAGTGAACTGTGTAATTTTGCTCCCAAGGTCTGCAAATGGGGGCGGAGCCTCAATGTCCAAGGACAGAGGATGGTTACGCCCTTTCAGGGAACAAATGCATCTTCACCCGCCTCTTGTTCTGTTCAGCCCTTAAAGGTTGAGTTCCTCACCATGTGGATGATGGCAGATCCTTCCTCAGTCTACTGACAGTACCCATCTCTCTCAGAAACACTCAAATGTAGCAGACGATGGCTAACTTTGTATCAGCATTTGAGTAATGTTGGCATTACACCATAGTATTTAAGATGTAAAAAATTAAGACTCAGGATAGTCATTACTTGAACCATTTACTCCCTGGATAAGGGATCGTTCTTAAGAAGAGATTGTTGCATTTTAGGTGGAATCATGATCTTGGTGTTGACTTTACTTGGAGGTTAAATATGGCTTAAGAAGATGTGTATGTGTTGGCACCAAGTTCACAGGGAGTGGGTTTGTGATGGTTAATTTTATTTCAACTTGACTGGGCTTAGGGAGACCCAGAGAGCTGGTAAAACATTATTTTGGGGTATGTCTACCTTTAGTAGTTGAGTATATCCATTTGGCTCCTGCTACCAGGACCCAGCTGATCTTGTTGAATTTGGGCTTGCAATTGAATGCCTCAGATTTCCATTGACAAGTCAGGCCTACAGATGAATGGCCACAGAGTTCTTCCAGGATGCTGGGGCTCCCCTCAAAAGTCTACTTGTTAATGTATGAGTGAAATGAATCCCCTGCCCAGTGCGGGTGAATAGGTCTTAAATGACAAAACCACTAAGCCTTTTAATCTTCCTACGTTTCTAAATCTTCCTGTACATGAAACCAAAGAAGGCAAGCATCTCTAGCTGTCTCATCATTTTAGTTAGGGTTTCTATTGCTGTGATGAAACACCATGAACAAGGAACTCGGGGAGGAAAGGGTTTATTTAACTTATGCTTCCATATCACAGTTCATCATCAAAGGAAGCCAGGACAGGAACTCAAGCCAGGCAGGAACCTGGAGGCAGGAACTGATGCAGAGGCCATGGAGGGTGCTGCTTACTGGCTTGCTCACCATGGCTTATTCAGCCTGCTTTCTTATAGAACCCATCCCAGGCAGGCACTACCCACAATGGGCTGGGCCCTCCCCCATCAATCACTAATTAAGAAATGCTCTACAGTCTTGCCTGTATACTGATCTTATGGAGGCATTTTCTTAATTAAGGTTCTCTCTCTCTCTCTCTCTCTCTCTCTCTCTCTCTCTCTCTCTCTGGTTTTTCAAGACAGGCTTTCTCTGCGTAGCTTTGCACCTTTCCTGGAGCTCACTTGGTAGCCCAGGCTGGCCTCGAACTCACAGAGATCCGCCTGGCTCTGCCTCCTGAGTGCTGGGATTAAAGGCGTGTGCCACCACCGCCTGGCAAGGTTATCTCTCTCTCTCTGATGATTTTAGCTATGTCAAGCTGACATAAAACTGTCCAGCACACTCATGGTGGGTCACCTTTTGATCCACATTTCAGCCAACCAACTAACCAACCAGACCTCTGGAACCCCTCCCAACTAGCTAAGTGGGAGCATTAGCTGCAGGCTCTTAGTTGGTGAGCCCGTATCAATGCATTTTGCCTGATGAAACTCTATGATCCATGTGCCCCAATTCCTTGGATTTCTGCTTGAACTGATTAGAAAACATAAGCCATTGTTCTGAAGTACATACAGCGTGTTCCCATCCCCGTGCATCACGCTGTGTGCCCTGGCTTTATAGGGACTTGAATCTAGTTACAGGTCTAGAAGTATAGCAACTGTCTCAGGAGGGGTCACCCTTTCCTTAGGCAAAGAACCTTTGTCCCTATCACTTGGAGGAGGCCACTTCTGAGAAAGAGTCACAGCTCATTCACAATCAGAAAGCAATAAGTAAATGAAAACATGCTTAGCGTACTTTCTCCATTTTATCCAGTGTCTTGTGGTGAGAAGGGAGGGACGGAGGAAAATTGGATCTTGAAACCATGGAGGCTCAGAAGTCTCTCGATCTGCCAGGTTCAAGCTGGAAAAACAAGAAAGCTGCTGACATCATCCAGTCCACATCCAAGAACCTGGGGACCAGGAGCACTGAAGTTCCCTCAGCAGGAGATGAATGCCTCCACTCAGAGACAGAGGAAATCTGCCCTCCCTCTGTCCTTATACTCCATTCAGGCACTTAGCAGAACCATCCTCTGCCTGGATGAGGGCCGTCTTCTAAGTGCCAATCACTCACGGTAGCACTCTCATGATACACCCCCAAGTATGCCAGCTGATGCATAAAGTTATTCATGCACATTTGGGTAAACGCAATCAGATTTTATAAATGATCTATAAGAGTAAAAGAACTTTTCTCAGACTAGCTCCTGGCTCTGTACATTTCCAATCTTGTTTCTCTGTCATCCCCCACATGCTTCCTGTACCAAGAACCATGGGACAGGCTCACACCACATCACCAAGAGTTTTCCAGGAAGCCATTCCTCTCCAGTAACTCTAACAGAGTTAGAATGAACCCACACATGCATATCCATCGCCCCATTTGAAGTCTTTCTGTTTCTCATACTCAGTGCGTTGGATCCCCCGAATGCCCCCCAGTTCCAGTACCATTTGACAGAAGGGTAAATGTTACAGAGGGAAAGCCAGATTAAAAAGAAACAGTGGCCTTTAATGACTGTACTTGGAATAACACTTCTGGCAATTTTATAAAAACGCAAGGCCTTATGAAAGCATTGCTGGGGGGGGTGCCCCCCCCCAGCCTTAGAAGGAGGGCCGAGAGGCCGGCAACGGCTCTGCAGAGGGGCATAGTCCTTAGAGATGAAAGAGACCCAGCAAAGGGTAATTACTAAGGTGGGGACCTCAGAGCGGCAGCCTCTGGCACAATTATCCTAACAAGTTAAATTAGCCCCAGATAAACTTGCACCTAATAACTCTGGGCTGCTTGTGCCTGGAGCTCCCATTTAGAAGCAGGACTTCAAAGCCCCCGGCCGGGTCACCAGAGGTGGTAATCCCCCCACACACACTTGTGGGTGCAAGGCCAGTGCATGGGTGGAGGGCCTGAATATCACCTCTCCCCAAATCCCAGGACCCAAGAACACCCGCAGGTTTGTTTACAAACACACATTTACCCATCCCTAAGCCCTTTGCAGCAAGCACCCATGCATGCATGCATGCAACCTACAGATGCACACACACACACACACACACACACACACACACCCCTAAGCCCTTCACAGCAAGCACCCATGTATGCATGCATGCAACCTACAGATGCACACACACACACACACACACACACACACACACACACACACTCACACCTAAGCCCTTCACACCAAGCACCCACGTATGCATGCATAAACCCTACAGATGCGTGCATACACACACACACACCTCTTTTTTTTAAGCAGAAAGTTATTTATGTGTATGTTGTATCTGCATATCTGCATTTGTGTGCAAGTGCCCACAGCAGCCAGAAGAGAGCATCAGGTTTTACAGGGTGACGGGCGGCCGTGAGCTGCCTGATGTGGGTACTAGGATCCGAACTTGGATCCTTTGGGAAAGCAGCAAGTGCTCCTAACTGCCGAGCCATATCTCCACTCCACACCCTACACCCTTAAGAGCAATTCCAAGACACAGCACCAGCTCCCCCAGGAGCTTCAGGAAATTCCCTCCGAGGGGAAGGAAGCGGTGCAGGCGGAGAACAGAAGAATGCTGCTTTCTCCTCTTCCCTGGATGCAGGTTGGGAGCCATCATGGGGAGCTGGCTTTCTCCTTTATATTTACACCAGGGCTGAGCTCCACGGTTCTGCAGACTTCATACGCTTCTCCTGACTCTCCCTTTCATCCAGTCTGCCATGAATAGGATACACATTCTCTCTCACCCATGCTAGAGACTTGGTCCCCAATGCAACAGTGTTGGAAAGATGGCGGGACCCTCAAGAGAGAAGTCACCGGGTCGTGAGAACAGCCCCTTCAGAAGAAGCCTAGAGAGTGGGCTGGTTCCTCATAGGAACCAACTAGTTATGAGGGCAACACTCCGCCACCTTGCTCGTGCCCCCACTGTGTGACGCCATCCGCCATGCTGTCCCAGAACCCTCTCACCCGATGGCAGCCTCTGAGCCTCCCAAACTGTAAGCGAAATAAAACCTCTTTTCTTGATCATGTATCCCGCCTCAGGTCTTTTTGTGATAGTAACACAAAACAGACCAAGCTGGGACTGCAGAGATGGTTCAGTGGTTAGGAGCAGGGGTGTTGTTCTGGTAGAGAACCCAAGTTCAGTTTCCAGCATCCACATAGGTTAGATCACGGCACGTGTGATTCTAGCCTGTTCCTAAGCATCTGTACCCTCTTCTGGACACTGCAGACACCTGCCCCCACACATGCACACACCCCCCCACACACATATATTTGTGCACTCAATTAAAAATGAAAATAAATCTTTTGTTTGTTTGTTTGTTTGTTTCGAGACAGGGTTTCTCTGTGTAGCTTTGGTGCCTGTCCTGGATCTCACTCTGTAGACCAGGCTGGCCTCGAACTCACAGAGATCTGCCTGCCTCTGCCTCCCGAGTGCTGGGATTAAAGGCGTACGCCACCACTGCCCGGCAAAAATAAATCTTAAAAAAGGAAAAATCAGACTAAGGTATATCCTTTTAATTTTTTCATTACATTTATTTATATATACATATATATTATAAAGTGTGGATAGTGTGTGTGTGTGTGTGTGTGTGTGTGTGTGTGTGTGTGTGTGTGTGTGTGTACCTCAGTGCACATGTGCAAGTCAGAAGGGAACTTTCAGGAATTGGTTCTCTCCTTCCACCAAATGGGTCCCAGGGATTGAAGCCAGGTCAGGTCATCAGGCCTAGTGGCATCTCCCTGTACTGACAAAGATATATTTTAAGAAAAGACAACCCTGAGCTGGACAGCAGAAAAAGATGTTCAGCCAGCATCTACAAACTCTATATGATAACCGTTATGGCTGGAGCCTGGACCTTACCAGCTCCACACGGTGCTGTGGAGAAGACGGGGCTGGGGCCTGCCCTCAGCCTCCACTCAGGATGAATGAGAACAGTGAGGAAAACATGGGGGAGGTGTGAAGTCGCTGACCACCCCTGGTCTTAGGCTAGCTATGATCTTGCTCTGCCTTGGCTTCTCTGTTCCAGGGCAACACCAATTCTAGAACCTTCGTTAATGTGCAAAGGAGACTCCAGAAATATCAGCTGGGAGTCGAGACCCTGGGTTCAAGATCTTGGGGGTGAGGAGAGAGTGAAGTTAGGAGCAATAACGGTCTGAGCATCTCTGACTTGGGGGCGGGGGCTCAGCCTCCAGAGTGACCAGAGCTGGGAGCCCCAGACCATTTAGAGCTGACTGTACTGAACCAGGGCTTCGGGGCTCTTCCGCTCAGGAAAACCCTATTCTGTCCTGAGCCGGTGGAAGAAAGAAAACAGGAAACACATGTTCTTAAAAGGAGGCTGAGCACCTAGACCCAGAATGCCCTCCAGGGAGAGTCTGTGCCTTGTCCAGGGCTTTCTCACCCCACCTGGGGACCTACCCTGACCAGCCCTTGAGGGAGAGACACATTTGTCAAACTTACCCCAAGAACAAAAACACTGGTAGGCAGGATATCTGTGTTCTTACCAACTCCTGTGCAACCTTGAGCAAGGAGCGCAGCCTCTCTGGGCTTGTGTCTCTTCTCCCTGGAAAAAAAAAAATGGAGGCTACTCTTGTCTTCTCTGCTTCACCTGTCTCGCTGGCTTGGAATGATAAAGTACCACACACGTAGAAACAAGTGGGAACGCCAAAGAGAGCCTTTCTTCCCGCGTTCCCCACCCCTTCCTGCAAGTTCTAAGTACTAGGACGCCTCCTCTGAGTGCCCCAGAGAAAATGAGTGACTCACCCATGACAGCCCCCCCTGGCATCCATCCTTTGCTTCTCCTCTGTCAGAGGCCTGATATTCTGAGGTGTCTGGCCATCTTGTCATAAACTCACGAGCACCTGACGTCGGCAGCCTGGTTATTCTTCCCATTCTTCCTTTTGTCTGCAGGTGCATCAGAAGCCCTGGCTGGAGGTACAGGATCCGGGTGAGAGCAGGTCATGACAAGCCTGAACCCCATCCACGCCTCTTCCTTTGATCCAGTCCTGACTGATGGCGACTTTGGATTTGACCAGCACAGTTACTAGGCACAGATAACCAGACCCAGGGGAGAGCAGCCTGAAGGGGTGCTATGATGTGTCTCTGAGCTGTCTGTGGCCCAGGTAAGGGGACTCAGGAAGCCTTTCTGGACTCGCCTTCATCTGCCCACACCAGACCCAGCCACAGGTCCGATTTGTCCTGCCTACGCTGCATCTAGGTAGATGCCAGGGTCTCTTAGGAGAAAGAGGGTTGGGAAGCATTCAGGATGTTGAAAGTTTCGAGACTCTGGTGTGTATACCAGCTCGTTCAGAGTGTCGACCTATGCCATCCATTTCCTGCTGTGGGATGTTCTGTATGTCCTGTGGGAGCCCTTCTTGGGTTCTTTGTGGCGTTACCCAGCAGGTCCGTATAGAGGATGATTAGGACCATGGGCCTGAGTGCAGGTGTTTGAGATGGTCTGCACTTGGCTGTGCTGGGGGATGGTCTGTATGTCAAGTTGCTCTGATTGGTTAATAAATAAAACCTGATTGGCCGTGGCTAGGCAGGAAAGATAGGCGGGACTAACAGAGAGGAGAAATAAAAGGACAGAAAGGCAGAAGGAGACGCGGCAGCCGCCGCCATGACCAGAGACACTGCAGCCGCCGCCATGACCAGCAGCATGTGAAGACACCAGTAAGCCACCAGCCACATGGCAAGGTATAGATGTATGGAAATGGATCAATTTAAGATAAAAGCACAGTTAGCAAGATAAGGACAGTTAGCAGGAAGCCTGCCACGGCCATGCAGTTTGTAAGCAAATTAAGTCTCTGTGTTTACTTGGTTGGGTCTGAGCGGCTGTGGGACTGGCGGGTGACAGAGATTTGTCCTGACTGTGGGCAAGGCAGGAAAACTCTAGCAACAATTTCCCCTCAGGAGCATCCATGGGTTTTCCTCTGTGCCACTGTGGGAAGTCCTCTTAGAGCCCGGCCTCAGACCAATAAATAACTAGCAAGGAGCTTAAAGAAGAGCTAAGAGTGCCCGGGCGGTGGTGGCACACACCTTTAATCCCAGCACTCAGGAGGCAGAGGCAGGCAGATCTCTGTGAGTTCGAGGCCAGCCTGGGCTACAGAGGGAGTTCCAGGACAGCCAGGGCTACACAGGGAAACCCCTGTCTCAAAAACACAAAAACAAACAAACAAAAAGAAGAGCTAAGAGGCCCACTGGGGAGGAAGTATGCCGGGCGCTGGGCTCAGCTCTGTGTACAGAATGGAGATGGAGCTGTGAGCTAAGTCTTCACGGAGGGAACCTAACCTCATCCAGGCCAAGTGAGTGAGATGAGTGTGTATCTCCTACCTCCCCTCTTCAGTCTGCCTACTGGATGCAGAAGACTCTGAGGCCATAAGTTCAGGAGCCTGGGCCCCTGAGTCGACACATGCATGGCCTCGTCCCTGCCAGGAGCACCACCCACATCAGACAGTTTAGACAGTTGAGTGAGAATTAGCCTCTGTGGTGTTCAGCCAGGGAAATTTACGGATCTGTTTGTTTTATCAGCAAACATTACCATGAGGCAATTACGACTGCAAGAAGAAAATGGCCCAACACTTCTAGTATCTTCTGGCCTACCTCCAACATAGGGTTTGGACTGTGGTTGGATTCCCTCGACCAGCCTTGATGCCATAAGTGTGCTGTGTCAGAAACAGAGATGAATGCATGGGTGTCCTTCCAGGACGTCAGAATTTGTTGAATAACAAGAAATCCACAAGGTGCAGCTGTTTCACTGGCAGGCCCTCTAGCAAGTAGTCTCTCTTTCCTTGATAGCTCTGGCCAAGGCAAACACCGGCTCTTTTACTACAATCTTAACGGCTAATATTAACTCTCAGTCCATACATCACACACACACACACACACACACACACACACACACACACACACACACTGAAGAGAAAAAAAAAAAGGCCACAGAAGAGTTCAAATGATTTCAAAAGGGACCAGAGAGTCATGGAAACAGCAAAAAGAGTCTCCATAGGCCTGGCAATGGTGGTGCACGCCTTCCACACCATCATTGGGAAGTTAGAGGCAGGCGGATCTCTGTGAGTTCGAGGCCAGCCTGGTCTACAGAGTGAGTTCCAGGACAGCCAGACAGGACAGAGGAACCCTGTCATGAAGAAACAACAACAAAACCAACCAACCAACCAACCAACCAACCAACCAACCAACCAACCAACCAAGAGTCTCCATAGGGGTAAGGATATGAAACAAGGTGGGAAGTCTGCTAGAGTCGTGACTGGAATTTGAGCAGAGTTCCGGGAAAGGAGTCTAAATACTGAGGCACTGCAGGACTGTGGAGGCCAGTGGGGCAAAGGGCAGGACCAGGTCAAGATAGATGGACAGACAGAAGACCCTGATAGACAAACAGGAAGACAGGCAGATGACAATTCAAGTAGGGCTGCATCGCCAGAGGGGACCACACCAAATGGAAGCCCGGGGAACAGTTGGGGGTTCTGTCTTTTGGTCCCTTGACACACCTTCTGCACAAGCCGGGTGACCAGGTGCCCAGCTGATGGGGGGAGGCGCATTGCTACTGTTGGGTTAAGGGCCCTCCTCTTTTGGGGGTCCTTCAAGGGAGCTGCACCTTTTCCGATCTGGTTTTCTCGACATGATTTTAATATGCCATTTGCTCCTGCAGTCTCAATTATTAAAGGGTGGCACCCAAGAACAAGTCATTCATCAGTCTCAATCATGTGATTGGCTCCAACGGATGGTGCCGCTCACGTGACTACCAAGGTACGGCATCATCCTCCATCCTCAAAACGGGGTCAAAAGCTGCACGCGAAGTGGAGTTTCTTGGGCCGATGCCCAGTCTGAAAAGCACTTTTTCACACAAGAGAGAGTAACTTGGGGGGACACTGCCTGACCGTGTGTCATGGCGGGCCCCAGGAGGGGGAAGCTCTAAAAAGGAGCCCTGAGTGCATTTGTCCTTGTCTTACACGTCTTCCTGTTCCCATCCCAATCTCAGCCCTCAACCCAGCCTGGCCATGCTGACTGTCTAGATTCCAGCTGTTAGCAGCATTGTTGTAGGGCCTCTCTGCTTTGGGGCTCCCTGGGATCCCCGTCCCTCTTCTTCCCTCTCCAGGGTCTTCCCCTTCCTCTCTCAGAGGCCAGTGAACTCTGTGACAGTCCAGAGGCCAGATGAGCCCTGCCTCTATGGTAGGCTTACAACGGTGCCATCCCTCCATGCTAAAGGTGTTCCGTGTCTTGTCCATTGAACAAGGAGCAAGCTTGTGCTACAAGAGAGGGGACCCCCAACCTGCCTCTGCACCTGCATGTCATGATTCCCATTTTCCAGATAAGAAGACCGAGGCATGGAGAGTATATGTCACCTACTCAGGAACACATTCTAGGACCAGGCCTAGAATCCAGGAGTGAAGCTTGTGCTCTGTATCACTACGCCTCATTGCCTGGAAACCACCAGATGTTCCATAGATGTGCTCAGTAAAACCAATGTGGCAGATTGCTTCCCGTTGACCAAACAAAGCCTCCTAGAGGGGCCTCTGCAGTATTCTGAGGAGGCTTCCTGGAAAACGTAGCATCTGGGGATTGTCATATAATCTCACTGGCCTGACTTACCTTTCAAGGTTCTCAGGAGTGTGTGTGGTATATGGGTATGTGTTCTTATATGTATGCATGTGTCCTACATAGGCCCAGCAAGGAAAGTACAGAGAGAGATTTGGAGTGCTTGCTAGCCAAGAGAAATGAGATATAAGCCACAAATATATGATATATGTACCAGCATATATAAAATAACTTTTCTAGTAGCTACATTTAAAATGGAAGAAATATGAAAAAATAGATAAAAGAAAATGATAAATTAACCCTAGTATCTTCTATTAGAGCCATTTTATAAGAAATGCTATTGTTTTAACATGTAACCAAAGTAAAGAAAAGAAAGAAAGAAAAAAAAGAAGAACATAGGATTTTTTTGTCACTGTACTAAACCAGCAAAGGCCACTGTTCATTCTTCATGAACAACACTGCTCAAGAAGACCAGCCACATCTCAAGAGCCACATGAGTGGCTTGTTGCCACTGTCTTGCAAAGCACAGCTCCGGTCTGGGCAGCCGAGGTTAGCCTGACCCTGAGAATATGCTCTGGAAGTCTCAACATGGTGCCTCCCAACGCTCTGGAAAGCCCACGTGGTCAGGCCTTGCTTAGCAAAGCACGTTATAACTCCGTAAGTAGCAGGCAGGGAAATCCATGCTCCATAAACACGAACTGCTGTGTGTTAAGATCCAGGGAAAGCGGCAGACAGTTTTAATCTGCTGCAAGGCCAGCATGTGTTTATACTTTTCTATTTACAGTAGGCCCGACGACGAGGAGGAGGCCTGTAAACAGCTCAGGGCGCGCCAAGTGGCCCGGCACTCCACACAGCTGCGCAGCCGAGGTCCCCAGACCCTCAGGTTACAAGCAAGCCCAGATTAAACCCGAAAGTTTTCATGACCAAGGAAATGTGAGGGGGTGGTGGGAAGTGGAGCAAAGAGCCAGGCCAGGAAATTGTTGCCAGCTGCGGTATGTAGACACCCAAGATGGTAGACGCCTGGAGTCTGCCCTGTGTCTTCTGGGCTCCCAGAGTCTACACCTAGGAGAGGTACTCCAAAAACTCTAGCGTAGCCAGCTGGCTGAGAATGACCCACAGGAGGCTGGGTCATCGTCTTGAGCAGGCACAGAGGGACCCTGGCTCAGCAGGCCACCTAACTTTGAAAGCTTTGTACCGCTACCTTGAAAGTCTTCATTTTTGAGCTGTAGGTTTACGTTTTCATTTTGTACTGGGCCCTGCGAATTGTGGATCTGGTCAGGGGTAGAGGCTGGATGCGGGCAACAATAAGCTCTTCCGGCCCAGGATTCCTGATGGGGAGGGGTTGGGTATGCTGTGGTTACCCTGTAAGTAACTCA